AAGAAGAGCCTGGAATTCTCATCCAAAATACTGGGATTCCAGTGCTCATCAGCTGTCTGTAAAGTCAAACATGTGAAGTGAAATATGGTAGCTTTGCTGAGATTACTCTACATGTTTACATATATACAATTATGTTTAAGTTTGATGTAATTAATGATTAAGAACACCTTATTTGCTGAATGTAATATACGATATAATCTGACTGGATGGACATTACAACACATCTCTCTCTCTCTCTCTCTCTCTCTCTCTCTATCTATCTATCTATCTATCTATCTCACATTACCTGAAGGCTGAGGTTTTTAAGAGATACTCCAAATGACAAAGGACAGTTTGGATTAGTGACCTGTGGAAACACAGAGAAATAAGAGCTAAGTTTATACTTTACAAACACTTATCGGAGTTCATTTGAATTTGAGTTATGCTGTACATACATACATCTCTAAGGTAACTCCTACATTCAATACTCACATCATCTTCATAGCGTACGTGGATGTTAGAGATCTTGACCTGCAGGTTTTTGATAACCTGAGTGACAAGCTTCTCCACAAAGGTGTCCTGCTTCTCCAGATTAGGGTTTTCTGTCGAACACAAGTGAATATGATGAATGTGAGACCTGATTTAGTCCTGCAGCTATAGGAATTTGGACGTGCTACCAATGCTCCCTGATAAAAACTTTTTTAAGGACCTTCCACATATCCCTACTATCATTCACTTACAGCATATGTTCTAATTTATACTATTCAACAGCTGGCCTTAGCTCTCATTACTCCTGTTGAAATTCATAGTTAACTTTATATATATCACCAGCAGTTATTCATTTGGACTGTTTTTCACTCTTGGAAATGGTCATTAAGTGAGAATGGGAGCAATACTAATAATACCACTAAATCAAATATATTAATTTCTGAATAAGTACACCATTGTTAATCAAGATTTGTCATGAAACATGCAGACCTTGCTAATTATAATATGTTAATAAGCAGTAAATAAATGGTATGGACTTTACCTTAGCCTTACAATGCAGAGAGTACTGCAGCTACATGCTACTTCGATGCTTAAATATCATTAAGTCCTATCTGACATACCAATTTAAATTTGTTCTATCAAATTGTTAATGCTTTGAAGAAAGATGTAGTCTTTATACTTGTACAGTAAATAGTATTTAAAGAGGTGTATGGGTACAATATCAAAGAACATAGATATCTTCTATTTTATATCGAATATCTATAGTTCAAAAATGACAAATGAGCTGTTCTGGAAAACACAGCACTGTTTAACACTACTGTCAGCTGGTGCTCTACTCATATAGTATTCAGCAGAAAAGTGTGATACACACACACAACAACAACTCAGGTCAGTGTATTCTGGCTCAGCAGTGCTAAACCACAGAAAATATACAATGTAAAAACGGCTGGCTACTCCAAAACCACACAGGAACTCACAAGCAGACAAACCATAACCACGTGTCTACAAATCTCTGTACTTGCTACTCTGCTGCATCTACACCACACAACTATGGTTTTTAGTCTCTCTCATACTCTTCTGGTTACCCAACCCAACACTGTTTGCTCCTGCACATTATCTATTACAGCTTGGCTTGGAATCTCTCTGAAACCTATTGAAAATGTACTGGGAAGCAAAATTCCTGACTTTATCCTGTTACACACACACACATATATTTGCTAGACTTACACATGTTCTCACACACACACACACACACACACACACACAGTCCCTTCAAAATCCAAGCCAAACCCTGACCTTGCTCAGCAGCCTTCAGCTTTGTCTCCTCTATCCGCTGTAGCTCCCTCTGACGAGCCTCCTGTAGTTGCTTCTCCTCCTTTTCGGCATCATACTTTATACCTGGAAAGAATTGGGTCAATATGAATGATTATTAGTCTAAACGTCTCTGAAAATAATTAAATATAAAGACGGTTAAGCTTGAGTTTCCTGTTTATCCTGACAGGCACTTTCAAGTCATGAATAAGTGAGTGCCCTCCTTTGTCTGACGACTGTGCTACACTGTGTTGTGCCTGCTAATGGCTATTCATCTGACTGAACTTGATATTACTGATTATTGGGATTTTTTTTTATCACTACAATACATAATTTAAATGCAGATGTTTTAATATGTTGTTAAATGTTTTAAATTGTTTAAAATAAGGAGCCTAATCATCTTAACATTGACAGGTAGCAGGATAATAACCTGCAAATATTGTATATGTCTACTGAACTACAACTGAATAAACAGTATTACACAATAATGTCTATGACGAAAACTTAAGTCTCATAATTTTGTATGTATTTAGCTGCACACAGATCTTACTTGCTGTGGGGACTATGAGCAGATAGACACCATCCAGCGTCGCCTCTACGGACTGGGTGTAGAGGTTCTTCCATGGAATCTTTAGCTCCAGCCGTCCTATTAACAGGAAGAGAGATGTGAAAAAACCTTCGTCTGTACCAAAGATAAGGTGGCAGATGGGGACAGTAGCTACAATCTCACCTATATGACCGGCTCTGACTTTAAAAGGAATGTCAAGTTGACTCTGCAACAAAAGAACAATAAATTATTGAAACACAAATTCATCGTGAATGCTAGAATGTAATCACAGACTTACGCATTTAATTGCAACTTACCAGGGCATTCTCCTTTATTTCAAGATTTGTTAAAATAGCGTCACCTGTGACGACAGAAACACTTGTTAATTGTTACTGCGCACACTCTGATTAGATAATTGGATCTTTGTGCTGTGAGGCTCACAGACACACAGTCCAATCCAAAGAGAAGATCTTTTGGCATTTGTCTATTGACTTAATTCAACACAATGGGACACATGTATTAAGATAAGATAGACTTTATTGATCACACACTGGGGAAATTCCCACGTTACAGCAGCTCTAGATAAAACACAGCAGATAAGAGAAAAGAAATACACATTAAATAACTAAAAATACAAGATATAATGATTGTTATTCAATTATTAAAGCCATTCACAACTGACTTGGTAAAACGGAGGAATTCACTCTGTGCCTAATCACAGAGTAGTTGTTACAAGTTAGTACATGTTTTGCTGTGGCACTTCATCTACATCTCTTCTCATTCTTCTCATAATCCTCAGACAGACCCATGACTGTCAGACTCTCTGCTAGAGCTTGTAAAAGGGACTCAGTATGAAACACAGTGGCGAGTCATAACCTGGTTTCTGTGAAAGGGTGTGACCCTGAACTGCTCGCTCCTCTCACACTCGCATGCATTGAGCACACAGCCTTTCAGTAGCAATGAGATTGGTCAACATAGGGTAATTGTAGCACCCCGAAATGAAAAGTTATGATTGGTTTATCCATAAACGAGCATTTGGCTGCACTATCTTGCTCACACTGGGCAGCTAGACTAGATTTTTAGGACGGATAGACTGACACTGACAGCTGAGGCAGTCGGTCACACACGAACGGTGGCTAACGTCTGTTAGCATGAGCTAGCTACCTCGTCGAGCGAGCCCAGTCCACTAAAATGACACACACAAGTTCAGTTACCTCCCCATATGCCGAGCTTTAGCTGTGAGCTGTCAAGGTTGACAACGTAGTCCCCTAAAAACCGGTTCAGGACATCTACAACCAAGCTTTCGAAGACCATCGTTGCGTTTCTTTCATCTAGCAGTTATCTGTCACCATGTTTACATTCTGGGGACTTGCTTGCCTGAACCATTGGAATCATTGGCCTGAACGTCAGATTAGGACGTAACGTTACTGCGGTGGGCGGTGCTTTGACGTCATTCCGTACCTGCACGACGTTTGGTTAATTCAGGGAAAATTCTCCCCCTCTGCTGCGACACCGAGAAAGAGGGCAACTGAGGGTAGGTAAGTACAAGGTGCACTCATGCGGGCTTTTTTATGGAAATATTTTCTACGAGATTCATAACTGGTTGCTTAGTCATCGGTTTTATTAATTCTACTGGCAAACTACCATGTCCACAAATTCAAAATCTTTATTATTAGGACTCATTAATGACACTGAACAGTACACTGATGCACTTAACTGCACGAAAGCTGTTATATTGAATGAAATGTGCTCTTTTGTCATGTTTTAATCAAAATACATTATTTTTAAATTATATATATATATATATATGTAGCATATAAAGCAATAGGCTTACTTAAAAAGGTGCTTTAAAGATGGGAGAAAAGACAAACAGGAAATAAAAGAGACACCGTGTTTAAAAACAGGGGCACAAAGGGTGCAAAACGCAAAACGTAAAGAAAAAGCCAAAAACAATAGAAATAGCAGAGTAGATGAGCAGAGCTGACATTAAAGTAGTCAAGACATGACATATTAAAAGCATAGATAACTATGTTTAGAGGAGGGCTCTGATTTTGGCAATGTACAGGAATAGTGATTTCACATATATTTACAATTCTTTCTTTACATTGATTTAACATGTTTAACATGCAAGCCACTTGAATTTGACTGTGTGTAACAGTATGTTGACCAAGACAATGAATAATTCAGTTATTTTATCATCCTAGAGCAGTGATACATTTCTAAACTACACAGTAAACCATATAGTCACAAGTTGTATTTGTGTGAACAATAAAAAGTATTGCAAAAAAGAAAGCATGACTTCATCACACACTTTGATTTTTAATATCAATAGGCTACAGAATTACAGAGGACAAAAAAACAACATTAGATTCACAAAGTCCACATTTGATGATCTTATATCTACATTCACTGGTTTTTTATTTTCTTGTGGGATTTTTGCCACCTGTGGGCAGCAGAAGGACCAGACATCATCATGTTATAAAGTTGTTATGGTTCATTGTTGTTCTAAAAAAATTTAGCAGCTTTCTTAACTATCAGGTTGGAGAACAAGATTTGAGTTTCAAAATAGTTGTTCATGGAGAGATAGTTAATAATTTAAACTTAGATAGTGATTGTAAATACTATAAATGTTATATACATTGGAATTATACCTAAAATAATATATATTGCCATTTCATCGTTTTATTGCTTTTAATAATAAGAACTGTATTTGTATAGCACTTTTCTAAACTAGGTTACAAAGTGCTAAACACATGAGAAAAATATAAGTAACCATACAAAACACAGTTAAAATATGTGAATAAAAGAACACAGCACAACAACAACTTCAAGATTTACAAATCAGACATCACAAAAGGCTTTCCTGTAAAGATATATTCAGATTTCTAGAGCCTGGGGGCCCTTATGGCAAACGCTTGAAGGGGCCTTAAAAGTTATTAAAACAATCTTAAAATCATCTTGAACATAACTGGTAACCAGTGAAGGAGGCAAGAATTGGAGTTATATGTGACCTGCGATTGCTGTTTGTTAAAATTCGAGCTGCGGCATTCTGCACAAGCTGAAGCAGAGCCACTGAAGATTTAATAAGGCATGTAAACAGTGCATGCCCAGTAGTCCAGGCACAAGAAGACAAAGCCATGTATAAGCCTTTCTAAGTCGGGAAAACTCAAAGATTATTTATTTTAGGTAATATTTCTTAGGTGGAAGTAGAAGGATTTAAGATTGTTTTCACCCAGGGACTAACATACTGCGGTATGTCAGGTAGTAAACTAGTCTTTCAATTTAATTTTTTTTTTCAGTTCATTGTTTTTTGTTTGCTATTACACTCACAAAACATTTCTGATCCAAAAAACATAGTAAAAGCTCACCGGATCATCTATCTATTCATTGTTGCGACCAAATAACTAAATATCTATAATCTGACATCCAGAACTTTTAACATCTGTATGGTTTTATCTGAAAAAACATGAAACAAATCACACCACAGTGGTTGGTGGTTGATACACTCAAGATGGAATACTAAAAATACAATTAAATGATTAGTATAATAATATAATATAATAACTACAGTTGTATATATTGTACATATATTGAAATACTGTTCCTTGTTGCTTCTTACCATGTGGGAAAACTTTATATAGCAGCTGCCAAATGCACATGTGCCATACACAATCATTTATTGCACCCCTCCCTTTCTTTTGTACATATTGTAATAACTGTACCATATTACTGGCTCTCTTTCCACAAAATGAGTTATTCCTCTACCTGTTTTTTAAGAGGGAGTAACTGAGACAGTGGTTTGGTGATCACCCCAATCACTGTCCCTCTTCTCAATGTTCCAGCTGCAGGTTTATCCACCACTTTTATCCTGAGCTGCAGTTCCAGCAGATCCTCTCTACTGAGCTCTGTAAAGAAGAAATCTTCATTAAACACAGGGCTGCGGCAGTTCCTGATGGTGGCGCTCTGCTGTTGCTGCAGCTTCCCCGGGGTCAGACACAGATTCACTGCACAGTTCAGGGTTCGTCGATCAGTATTGTTCCACAGGCCCTCTACAGACACCACACGGACTCTGACTGTGGAAAATGATGAGAATGTGTTGGTGGAGAATGTGGTGTGCTCAGCGAAGAGGCGCACTTTACCACGGCCCAGCAACGGGAGGACGTGCTCACGAGGAAACCGCTCCTGACACTGCAGAACATCCAGGGGGAAGAGGACAGGTGGGGCTAAGGTGAGTGAGCTTCCCTCTAAGCTTGGAGGGCTACTGGGAGAGGTTGTTGAACTGAATCCCCCCCTCGACCACCTCCCTCTGTCCTCCATGCTGTCAGTTAACGAAGGACAGGATGTTGCTCCCTTAAGACGGCCACTGCCTGATGGGATGTAAAGGGAGGATTTAGCGCTATAAGGGGAACTGATTGGAGAAGAGTCACTGGAAGATGGTGTTTCACTTTCTGTGCTTCCAGTCTCTGACAGACTCTTGGTCAAAAACAGAGGGAGATATCTAGATAAAGTTTTCTTGGGTGGGTTTGTCTCCTTTGCCAGCCTGCATGCTGCAGTAGGAATGCTTCTATCAAACATGTAAACCGGGCACTTTGAGTGGAACAAAGACTCTTTCCTTCGAGTGTTGGGGCTCTCATATATCCCAGTCAGGCCGTACCCCTCTGCAGAGAACGGCAAAGGTATCTTTGTAACCTTACAAGCCACTGATGCATCACCATTCTTCGTCTTCACATCTATTGTCTTTACACGTGTAGTGCTTGAAGAAGTGCTGCTGTTGGGTATCCGGTTCCGACCGTACAAGTTCGGTGTTGTTGTCTCAGCTTCCAGCAGCGGGCTTCTCTTGCAAAGCCGTGGAGGCAAACAGAACTCTGGGATCTTGTCTGGGGTGAGGATGTTGTTGTGCAACTTGTGAGAGAGACTGGCCTTAGAGGAGAGAAAGATGTCCTCCTCACTCTTCCCGATGTAACGACTCAGCTCTAGAGGAATGCTCTCCATGCTCTCCCTGATCTTCCCAAGGACCCACATAGTTATTTTCTGATGGTTTAATACGACGTGAGCGTAAACTGTTTGCACACAAATCCAAACTTTTTTTCCTTTGGCAACAAGAATAAAGAAATATAATTTAGGTGAATCAAACAAACAATTCATGAAACACACCTTTCATAACTAGAAACTGTTTGTTCCAAATTGTGAAATGACAGATATTTTCTTCTCACCTATTGAGGTCTTGATGTATCCACCGCCGAAGAAAGATCTGTGCAAGTGTGACGGATGTGCCAATGACAGATTTTAAAGGTGAGTGCGAGGCTCTGCGTCACTGGCCTGTCGCCCCCGCCTGCGTCAGAAAACAGGCTGTACACGCACATACACACAATAAGAGCACCCAGTCTCCCTGTTGGAGACTGGGTGGGTGGTAATCAGAATCAGGTGCATCGGTGTGCATTTAGTTGTGCTACATGGATGTGATATCAGCTTTTCAGTTAGGTGAGACAATTTACGTCAACACTGAACTGTGCCTTTCTATTGTACTGTAAATAAAAGTAAGTAGTTAAATGTAAAGTATTAAATGTGATGCTCTAAATTCCACTTTAACATACAGCATTCACATTTTAAATTAAATTTAAATATATAGAAATGATAACTTTGAAAACATTTTGATATCTAAGGTAAAGTATTAAAGAAATCTGGAGTTTTATATTCACAATACTATTAAATGATATACGACCCCACACTCTCAGACAAACCTTTTTTCTAAGGCTAACTAAACTTTGTAAAAATAAAGTGTTCAATAAAATTAAATTCAGATTAAAACCTATAACAAAACATTGAAGTGTGTGTTGTAGTGGTCCTGATGACATAATCTGCTTTTGAGAGAGCTGACCTCTTGTTCAAAGACAATTCAAAGACAGGAGCACCCCAGGCCTACAGACAGCACCCACCACCTCAAAGACCCACTGACCTTTAGACAGCTGGCAGTCCAGACACACAACTGACTCTCAGCTCTGAGTCATATGTATTCTTATCTAGGTCAAACACAGTAGTCAAAATGTGAATGGATGCTGATAAACACATCACTTTTTTAATATTGCATTCTTATTTTCACGTAAACGAGGGAATTTGTGATTTTGCATTGATGTGTAAAAGGAAAAGATAGCTTCATATCAATGAGACAATACTGTTTATAGTTAGCTTAACAAATCTTTTTTTCTTTTTGTGGGCTTTTGTGGGCATACAACATCTATTAGTTTGACAGCCTTTATTGATTTTAATTTTTAATACTTGTAACAGTAAATGCCAACTCAACATATGAATTTCAAAGACAGTATTCTGTATCTGCAGAATTAATCCTCCTCACCCTTAAACACTGGCATCTTGTACTGTGTACACAAATGAGTCGTGGTTGCTGAACTGGAAGGCCCTTTGAACAATGTGAGTTCTTCAACCACAAGAGGGCGTACATGATTTAGTTTTACCGTTGGGCAACCTCAAACCTCCATTTGTCTTGTTAAAGACATTAGTGGGATATAGTTAATATTTCTGTATATCATTGTTAGCATTATAACATCTAAAAGAAATATTTAAAAAGAAATGGAAATTCAAAGGTTAGTCAAATTTATCCGCACAGACACACACTCAAACACACACACACACACACACACACACACACTAAAGACACCTGTCCCTTGCTTCATTAAAATGATCCTCTCTTATTGTTCTAATTAAACAACATCCTTGCGTGTGTGCCCGTCTGCTTGCATGCTGCGTGTGTGTGTGTGTGTGTGTGTGTGACAGAGAATGAATATGAAGATGATGAATCCATTCGGGAGGGGTCAGGGGCCTCTGGAGCACCCAGGGGTCAGGAGGCTTTTTGTGGTAGTGAAGATGGACTTTATTACACCAATAAAAACCAGAGTGCTCTCTGTAATTGAGAGATAAATGATTGGGAGTCAGAAGAGGACCTTTCCTTTAACCGCTGTCACTGCTGCAATTAACGCTAACGAGAGAACAGTGCATTGTTGCCAAATGCTCTAACTGCTGTCAAGTGCATTAGTGTTAAAACCTTTTTGTTCTGGAGCTCTGCATTTTTAAAATAATTATTCTTTTTTATTTTATTTTGTGGGCTTCATTTGGTAATTCATTGTGTAGAACACTGTGTTAACTAATCAACCAAAATGCTTTAAAGGTCTTAACAAATCCCCTTTGTATTTTATTCAGCCTATCTTGTGTTGTGAAGACTTTTGAAGGACTTCTTCACAATAATGGCCAAAATAAGGCAAATATCAGCTGACAGATAGTGGCTGTAGACGTTTTCTCTCTACTCAAAACCACATTTTCTTCAATAAATACAAATTATACATTTAAAAATGCAAAACAAACCTTTCTCTACATACTCTAACTCAATATCAAATAATTATTTCAAACATGCATGTGTTTCATCCAAGGGGAACATATAGCTAACCATAGCACAGCAACTTTTTAAAAAATGTTTTAAAGAAATTTAAGCGTTTTTGCATTATTGTTCATTGATGGCATATTCTGTGAAAACAACATGAAATGTGTTAATGGTATGGTCCACAATAGATGGGTGTGCTAATTGTGTTACTGTAAAACTGCAATACCCTCTCACTATAGAGCTACAGTCTAATTTCCTTCTTCTGTGCTACTCACATATAACAAAGCAGTACTTCTTTGTGCCTTACTCAAACCAAGCTATAGGCCTTGCACACACACTTTGAGGCATCATGAAAACCCAAATGTACAGTCTAGGCTTTAGTTCCTTAATTTAGATTAACTTTAAATGAGCGGACCAACTGACTTGTGGCTGTTATGGTTTTCATTAAACCAATAAGGACAGAGGAAAGCAAAACAGGCACTTTGTTAAAAAAACAAACTTGACCTCTGCATTTACGTATAATTGATGTATTACATCTCTCCCCCCGCTGGAGGCTGTAACTTCATCCTTCTAGCCACCTGCCCAGAGCTAAAAGTGACCTTTTAGCCTTCCTTCATCACAAAGAAGGTATAATGGAAACTTCAACTCTGTTTTCATGGAAGCTGATTCTTTCAAACCTGACGGTTATTCAGTTCAGTATAGTGAATGGAAACAAGAAGGACCACTGGTGCCTGATGATCAAAGATCTGTCAAACAAGTCTGTCGATTCTGTGTGGTTAGTCTTTGTTTAAAGTGTCTCTAGCTCCAGTTTCAAAGAATAAATCAGTTTCATGCTTGTTGTAGATGCTGCTAAATTGTCAGTTTACCATTTGAAACTGTCTTTCTCTCTTACACCTGTAGGTTTAATCATGCACGTACAGTAATTAAGGCAAAATAACTAATCATGCATAATGTAAAATTAGTATAGTGTCTGTAGTGTAATTTCTTTCAAGATATAGTTTCCAAGTAAAGACAAAGCCTCCTGAGAAGGACAAGAGAATGACACTGAACAAAAAAAAAAGTCTCATTACCATAGATGTAATGAAACCTGTATTTATGATGCAACAACATTAGACAAGTATTTAAACAAAGACTGTTAAGTTTTGGCATATATGCTTATATAGAAATGTGTCAGAACAATTGAATGATTTGAGCGATTTCATAGGGGCCATAGGAGAAAAGGTCTGATTACTTTTTTCACACATTTTCATTATGTACCTCCATGTAACCAAACAGGTCCTGCCTAGATCCAAGGCAGTTTTAGTAAGCCAAACCTTTGTTGTAAGGTTTTCTCTGTAACACTGCCAATTATTATGTTTTGACATTGTGTGACGAGATTTAAAATTCCAAGTACAAACTCTGAGGAGGGGAAGAGCTGATGATACACTTTGTTAATTTCCACTTCACTTTAATCTCTATTAGTGAGGAGTCAAATGAGCCTATATGGGCACTCACCTTCTTGCCAAGCACTTAACCTCTTATGGAATTGCTGAAGTTTTTTGGCCAGAGAACTTCTTTGTCTGAACTCCTCACAGAAAGTGAGAAAGTGGGGAAGTCGGAGAGGAGAAACAGTGGGAAGGAGGCCAGAACGGCTGAACCATTGACCTGTTTTGAATTGATAATAAAATGTAATAATGGCTAACAAGGTGTAATAATTTGGGCTAATAAAGATAGATGGCAGATTGAAGATGATATGAGTTGCGTCAGAAGACCTTACTTCGAGGACGGCACAGAGACAATACACTTCACGTCAGGGGGCGCTGATAAAATTTGACCCCAGATCTGTGAATCATTGTCTAATTATTAAGGAGAAAGAGGGAGAGGGGAAGGAGACTTTCAGAGGGAAATGGGTGGAAGAAGGTAAGGGGAGATGGGAACAGTTATGAAGAATAAGTAGAAAAGAGTGAAACAAAACAGGAACAAACGGTGAAAAATAATGAGAAAAAACATTAGTAAGTAATAGAAAGGGACAGAGAGGGAGGAAAAAAGTGAAATGAGAGAAAGAGAATAGGTAGGGGAAGAGAGAGAAGAAGAGTTATAGTAATGTGCAGTGGTCCAGAGTGACCTGTCGTTAGGACTCACTCCCATGACAGCTTCTCTCTGTCTCCAGGCCTGATGCCAATATGCTAATTCCCCTCAGATGGCCTTTTCATTGGCTGATGCTGACTCCTGTCGACACATGCCAGATGACTGTCCCCTCGTCCCACTATTAAAGACCACGGCCGTGAATATGGCGTTGCGACCATTACCACGATAAGAGCAGATGTAGCCGTATGCCGGCTGCCTGCTTGCACTGAATCACATATACTGTTGCAATAAGTTATTACATATACCAGAGCTGCAGCCTACCAGTGAGTGGAGACTGTGGTAGTGAAGCTCGACATGTAAAAATGGTAAGTAGTTCATGTCACACACAATGAAATAGGTGTAATAATCCCTGTACCAGGGTTTTTGATTAATGGATTAAATATAGGATATAGGAATATTAATAGCAGCAGTAATAGAATTGCCCTGGCTTGAATTTAACACATAAACACACAGGGACGCTAACTGAGCCTTTCAAGACTTTCATACAGAGGTGTCTTAATTAAACTGTGGATGAAAGTGAATTTGATAAGAGTGTTATACTGCAGTAAACAAATTATTTGTGAGATGGAATATAATTTGTATACAC